CTAAACAAGTGAGAGCCCGAACGGGTGTTAGCCTGAACAAGTGAGAGCCTGAACAAGTGAGAGCCTGAACAAGTGAGAGCCTGAACAAGTGAGAGCCTGAACAAGTGAGAGCCTGAACAAGTGAGAGCCTGAACGGGTGAGAGCCCGAACAGGTGAGAGCCTGAACAAGTGAGAGCCCGGACGGGTGAGAGCCTGAACAAGTGAGAGCACGCACGGGTGAGAGCCTGAACAAGTGAGAGCCCGAACAAGTGAGAGCCCAGACAGGTGAGAGCCCGAACAAATGAGAGCCTGAACAAGTGAGAGCCCGAACAAGTGAGAGCTCGGACAAGTGAGAGCCCAGACAGGTGATAGCCTGAACAAGTGAGAGCCTGAACAAGTGAAAGCCTGAACCAGTGAGAGCCTGAACGGGTGAGAGCCCGAACGGGTGAGATCCTGAACAAGTGAGAGCCTGAACAAGTGAGAGCCTGAACAAGTGAGAGCCTGAACAAGTGAGAGCGTGAACGGGTGATAGCCTGAACAAGTGAGAGCCTGAACAAGTGAAAGCCTGAACATGTGAGAGCCTGAACGGGTGAGAGCCCGAACAAGTGAGAGCCCGAACAGGTGAGAGCAAGAAACAAGTGAGAGCCTGAACAAGTGAGAGCCTGAACAAGTGAGAGCCTGAACAAGTGAGAGCCTGAACAAGGGAAAGCCTGAACAAGTGAGAGCCTGAACGGGTGAGAGCCCGAACAGGTGAGAGCCTGAACAAGTGAGAGCCCGGACGGGTGAGAGCCTGAACAAGTGAGAGCCCGCACGGGTGAGAGCCTGAACAAGTGAGAGCCCGAACAAGTGAGAGCCCAGACAGGTGAGAGCCCGAACAAATGAGAGCCCGAACAAGTGAGAGCCTGAACAAGTGAGAGCCTGAACAAGTGAGAGCCCGAACAAGTGAGAGCCCGAACAGGTGAGAGCCCGAACAAGTGAGAGCCCGAACAAGTGAAAGCCTGAACAAGTGAGAGCCTGAACAAGTGAGAGCCCGAACAGGTGAGAGCCAGAACAAGTGAGAGCCCGAACAAGTGAGAGCCCGAACAGGTGAGAGCCCGATCAAGTGAAAGCCTGAACAAGTGAGAGCCTGAACAAGTGAGAGCCCGAACAAGTGAGAGCCCGAACAAGTGAGAGCCCGAACAAGTGAGAGCCCGAACAAGTGAGAGCCTGAACAAGTGAGAGCCCGAACAAGTGAGAGCCCGAACAAGTGAGAGCCTGAACAAGTGAGAGCCCGAACAAGTGAGAGCCTGAACAAGTGAGAGCCCGAACAGGTGAGAGCCCGAACAAGTGAGAGCCCGAACAGGTGAGAGCAAGAAACAAGTGAGAGCCCGAACAGGTGAGTGCCCGAACAAGGGAGAGCCCGAACAAGTGAGAGCCTGAACAAGTGAGAGCCTGAACAAGTGAGAGCCCGAACAAGTGAGAGCAAGAAACAAGTGAGAGCCCGAACAGGTGAGAGCCCGAACAAGTGAGAGCCCGAACAAGTGAGAGCCCGAACAAGTGAGAGCCCGAACAAGTGAGAGCCTGAACAAGTGAGAGCCCGAACAAGTGAGAGCCCGAACAAGTGAGAGCCTGAACAAGTGAGAGCCCGAACAAGTGAGAGCCCGAACAAGTGAGAGCCCGAACAAGTGAGAGCCCGAACAGGTGAGAGCAAGAAACAAGTGAGAGCCCGAACAAGTGAGAGCCCGAACAGGTGAGAGCCCGAACAAGTGAGAGCCCGAACAAGTGAGAGCCTGAACAGGCGAGAGCCCGAACAAGTGAGAGCCCGAACAAGTGAGAGCCCGAACAGGTGAGAGCCCGAACAAGTGAGAGCCTGAACAAGTGAGAGCCCGAACAGGTGAGAGCAAGAAACAAGTGAGAGCCCGAACAGGTGAGAGCCCGAACAAGTGAGAGCCCGAACAAGTGAGAGCCCGAACAAGTGAGAGCCCGAACAGGTGAGAGCCCGAACAGGTGAGAGCCCGAACAAGTGAGAGCTCGAACAAGTGAGAGCCCGAACAAGTGAGAGCCCGAACAAGTGAGAGCCCGAACAAGTGAGAGCCCGAAAAAGTGAGAGCCCGAACAAGTGAGAGCCCGAACAAGTGAGAGTCTGACTCTAAACAAGTGAGAGCCTGAACAAGTGAGAGCCTGAACAAGTGAGAGCCCGAACAAGTGAGAGCCCGAACAAGTGAGAGCCCGAACAAGTGAGAGCCTGAACAGGTGAGAGTCTGAACAAGTGAGAGCCTGAACAAGTGAGAGCCCGAACAAGTGAGAGCCCAGACAGGTGAGAGCCCGAACAAGTGAGAGCCTGAACAAGTGAGAGCCCAAAGAAGTGAGAGCCCGAACAAGTGAGAGCCTGAACAGGTGAGAGCCTGAACAAGTGAGAGCCCGAACAAGTGAGAGCCCGAACAAGTGAGAGCCCGAACAAGTGAGAGCCCGAACAAGTGAGAGCCCGAACAAGTGAGAGCCCGAAGAAGTGAGAGCCCGAACAAGTGAGAGCCCGAACAAGTGAGAGCCCGAAAAAGTGAGAGCCCGAACAAGTGAGAGCCCGAACAAGTGAGAGCCCGAACAAGTGAGAGTCTGACTCTAAACAAGTGAGAGCCTGAACAAGTGAGAGCCTGAACAAGTGAGAGCCCGAACAAGTGAGAGCCCGAACAAGTGAGAGCCCGAACAAGTGAGAGCCTGAACAGGTGAGAGCCTGAACAAGTGAGAGCCTGAACAAGTGAGAGCCCGAACAAGTGAGAGCCCGAACAAGTGAGAGCCCGAACAAGTGAGAGCCTGAACAGGTGAGAGCCTGAACAGGCGAGAGCCTGAACAAGTGAGAGCCCGAACAAGTGAGAGCCTGAACAAGTGAGAGCCTGAACCAGGTAAGAGCCTGAACAAGTGAGAGCCCAGACAGGTGAAAGCCCGGACAAGTGAGAGCCCAGACAGGTGAGAGCCTGAACAAGTGAGAGCCCGAACAGGTGAGAGCCTGAACAGGTGAGAGCCTGAACAAGTGAGAGCCCAGACAGGTGAGAGCCTGAACAGGTGAGAGCCTGAACAAGTGAGAGCCCAGACAGGTGAGAGCCTGAACAAGTGAGAGCCCGAACATGTGAGAGCCCAGACAGGTGAGAGCCCGAACAGGTGAGAGCCCGAACAAGTGAGAGCCCGAACAGGTGAGAGCCCGAACGGGTGAGAGCCCGAACAGGTGAGAACCCGAACAAGTGAGAGCCCGAACAAGTGAGAGCCCGAACGGGTGAGAGCCTGAACAAGTGAGAGCCCGGATGGGTGAGAGCCTGAACAAGTGAGAGCCTGAACAAGTGAGAGCCTGAACAGGTGAGAGCCTTCAGCTGCTGCTTGAAAGTGCATGGCTGCTGCTGTGTCTGTGCAGTGGATGTCTCCATGGCCCCGAGTGGTAACGCTGTCAAAGTAATAGAACAGAAGTGAAACGTCAAAGTGATTCGTGCTCAAATGAGCACTGAGCAGGGGCGGTTTCTTCATTAGGGCGAGTGGGCGACGCACCACCAATGTCATTCAACCACAGAGTCACGCTAGCCGTCACTGTCAGCCTCTGGATATAGTCCAATCAGCGTCATGTCACGTTCTGTGGAGTACCGCCTCTTTTTGGGCGATTTCACTACGGCTGAGAATCGCCCCGAGTGGCCCCATAGACTTACATTCAAAGATGTTTTTTTTCGAACGGGGGCGCTGCAATGCATTCTCTATGGCTTCCGGGAGGGCATGCACTAACGTACTTACGTCATCATACGTGCTAACGTCATCATACCTAAGCACGTTTCATCCAACAATATCATTTATCGCCACCTAGTGGAATCTTTAATAAAATAAACTTGAGTGGTTTGTTTTAATAGTGAGTATATAAACAAACAAGATGTATTGTAAGAGTCACTTTATTTTTCATTAATATTAAAGAAGTGAAGTTGCCTTTACATGCTTAAGCTGTTAATTTATTCATTGCATGGGTGGACCTTATCCTTATCAATCATCCAGACATTTGCCCCCCCTGAGAGATTTTGCAGGAGCCGCCACTGGCACTGAGGTCCTCATATCCCGTTTACAGCCCGAAGCCAGCGGTGTCAACTCCACACTCGTGGGTCAGGGGCGAGTCTCTCCATAGGACAAGCAGCGTTGACTTCCCACAGAGCGGCGATCCTTGACCCACGAGGGATGATGGATCTAGCCGCGGCCGGGGGCCTGTCGCTCAACCACTTAACCAAGCTGACGCGTTAAATGTGACACTAATCACACTTGTGTTTAGACTGCGCCCACGACGTAATCACAATGTGTGAAATTGCAGTGTGTGAGCCTTGGGGACCCCCTAGTGGCAGCCTGTCCCCTATGGGGAACAATGTTTGTGTTTTATCCTTGAGTGTATACCCCTATGAAAGAGTTACAGAGATGGGGTTTGAGTCCCCTGACGCCAGTGACGGATTAAGTTAGCGCGGGGCCTGTAAGCAAATGTTATAAAGGGGCCCAAATATTAAAAATAAAATTTTAACTTGCATAGTGAAGTAATTACATGTTTTCACTTGCTATACAGCCAGATAATGCGACAAATCGCTAACCTTAAACACCCAGTCGTGCATAAAAGTTGAAGGCAGTATAGTACTATAGTAATAGAGCAAGTGCAGAATCACTGAACTGCAATTGATAGTCTTCTTGGTTCTTTCGGTAAAGTCACGTAGAAGGGAAATAAAAAAATAATAAAAAAATACCATATAATAAAATAATTCTCGCGACGTTTCGGCCACAACGCAAGCAGCAGTCCTCAGGTGAAGAACAGGTCTGTCGGAAAGACAGCGTCTGAATGAAACACCACCAGGCTTGGCAGCGTATATTTAAGCTGGGTTGGAGGGGGAAGGGCGCCTTGACAATTGATTGATAGCTTGAAAACATTTAGCGCGGAGCCCTTGAAAGTGCGGGGCCCCTAGCACGTGCAGCTGCTTGTGCTACGGGGACGATCCGGCACTGTCTGACCCCCGTCCCCCTCACCTGGCCATGCGCCCCAGGCCCGGCTGCCCGTGAAGTGGATGGCCCCAGAGAGCGTGTTCGACTGCGTGTTCTCGCTCAAGAGCGACGTGTGGTCCTATGGAGTCCTCGTCTGGGAGGTCTACTCCTACGGTACGGCGCCCCCCCCTCCCCCACATCATCATCAGTCGCTTGCCCCAAGCTGGTGCGTAGCAGTCCCCCCGCTCCACACACAAGGGGCATCCCCCACAAACGGGTCCCCCACGCACAGAACCCCCCATACTTACTTCCAGCACCTCCGATTAGCACGGTTGGCTACGTCCGGTGCGAAAGACGTTCAACATACGGACAGGGATGTCCTTCACACAGGTGCCCCCCTACAGGGGTCCCCCCCCCCCCCACAACGCCCCCCCCCCCCCCACACACACAGAACCTGCACACAAAGGCGCTCTGCATGCAGGTGTCCCACACACCGGGAGCCCCCACACAGCCCCCCCCCGCCCCCACCACTCAGCTGCCCCACACAAAGGAGTTGTGTGCGGGACGCTCAGGTGAACGGCTCACGTGTGTGTGTGTGTGCAGGTGAGAGCCCCTACCCTCACCTGGAAGTGGACGACACGTTCTTCCGTCTCCTCCAGGATGGGTATCGCATGGAGGTGCCCAAGGCCTGCCCCCCAGCCATGTGGGTCAACCACTCAACAACTCAACCACTCACTCAGTCAACCACTTACTCAGTTAACCACTCACTCACTCGAATATTCATCCACTCAAACAGTCAACCACTCACTCAGTCAACCACTCACTCGAATATTCACCCACTCAAGCAGTTAACCACTCACTCAGTCGACCACTCGCTCACTCAAACATTCACCCACTCAAGCAGTCAACCACTCACTCACTCAAACATTCACCCACTCAAGCAGTCGACCACTCACTCACTCAAACATTCATCCACTCAAACAGTCAACCACTCACTCAGTCGACCACTCACTCAAACATTCTTTCACTCAAGCAGTCAACCACTCACTTAGTCAACCACTCACTCACTCAAACATTCACCCACTCAAGCTGTCAACCACTCACTCAGTCGACCACTCACTCACTCAAACATTCACCCACTCAAGCAGTCAATCACTAACTCACTCACTCAAACATTCACCCACTCAAGCAGTCGACCACTCACTCACTCAAATATTCATCCACTCAAACAGTCAACCACTCACTCAGTCGACCACTCACTCAAACATTTTTCCACTCAAGCAGTCAACGACTCACTTAGTCAACCACTCACTCGCTCAAACATTCACCCACTCAAGCAGTCAACCACTCACTCAGTCGACCACTCACTCGCTCAAACATTCACCCACTCAAGCAGTCAACCACTAACACACTCACTCAAACATTCACCCACTCAAGCAGTCGACCACTCACTCACTCAAACATTCATCCACTCAAACAGTCAACCACTTACTCAGTCGACCACTCACTCAAACATTCTTCCACTCAAGCAGTCAACCACTCACTTAGTCAACCACTCACTCACTCAAACATTCACCCACTCAAGCAGTCAACCACTCACTCAGTCGACCACTCACTCGCTCAAACATTCACCCACTCAAGCAGTCAACCACTAACTCACTCACTCAAACATGCACCCACTCAAGCAGTCAACGACTCACTCACTTAAACAGTCACCCACTCAAGCAGTCAACCACTCACTGAATCAACCACTCACTCAAACATTCACCCACTCAAGCAGTCAACCACTCACTCAGTCGACCACTCACTCGCTCAAACATTCACCCACTCAAGCAGTTAACCACTCACTCAGTCGACCACTGACTCGCTCAAACATTCACCCACTCAAGCAGTCAACCACTAACTCACTCACTCAAACATTCACCCACTCAAGCAGTCGACCACTCACTCACTCAAACATTCATCCACTCAAACAGTCAACCACTCACTCAGTCGACCACTCACTCAAACATTCTTCCACTCAAGCAGTCAACCACTCACTTAGTCAACCACTCACTCACTCAAACATTCACCCACTCAAGCAGTCAACCACTCACTCAGTCGACCACTCATTCGCTCAAACATTCACCCACTCAAGCAGTCAACCACTAACTCACTCACTCAAACATGCACCCACTCAAGCAGTCAACGACTCACTCACTTAAACAGTCACCCACTCAAGCAGTCAACCACTCACTGAATCAACCACTCACTCAAACATTCACCTACTCAAGCAGTCAACCACTCACTCAGTCGACCACTCACTCGCTCAAACATTCACCCACTCAAGCAGTTAACCACTCACTCAGTCGACCACTGACTCGCTCAAACATTCACCCACTCAAGCAGTCAACCACTAACTCACTCACTCAAACATTCACCCACTCAAGCAGTCAACGACTCACTCACTTAAACAGTCACCCACTCAAGCAGTCAACCACTCACTGAATCAACCACTCACTCAAACATTTTTCCACTCAAGCAGTCAACCACTCACTTAGTCAACCACTCACTCGCTCAAACATTCACCCACTCAAGCAGTCAACCACTCACTCAGTCGACCACTCACTCGCTCAAACATTCACCCACTCAAGCAGTCAACCACTAACACACTCACTCAAACATTCACCGACTCAAGCAGTCGACCACTCACTCACTCAAACATTCATCCACTCAAACAGTCAACCACTTACTCAGTCGACCACTCACTCAAACATTCTTCCACTCAAGCAGTCAACCACTCACTTAGTCAACCACTCACTCACTCAAACATTCACCCACTCAAGCAGTCAACCACTCACTCAGTCGACCACTCACTCGCTCAAACATTCACCCACTCAAGCAGTCAACCACTAACTCACTCACTCAAACATTCACCCACTCAAGCAGTCAACGACTCACTCACTTAAACAGTCACCCACTCAAGCAGTCAACCACTCACTGAATCAACCACTCACTCAAACATTCACCCACTCAAGCAGTCAACCACTCACTCAGTCGACCACTCACTCGCTTAAACATTCACCCACTCAAGCAGTTAACCACTCACTCAGTCGACCACTGACTCGCTCAAACATTCACCCACTCAAGCAGCCAACCACTAATTCACTCACTCAAACATTCACCCACTCAACTAGTCAACCACTCACTCAGTCGACCACTCACTCGCTCAAACATTCACCCACTCAAGCAGTTAACCACTCACTCAGTCGACCACCCACTTGCTCAAACATTCACCCACTCAAGCAGTCAACCACTAACTCACTCACTCAAACATTCACTCAACTCACCGACTAATTCACTCAACCACTTCCACAACTCCCTGTCCTCTGCCCCAGGTATGAGCTGATGCTCCTGTGTTGGGACACGAGCCCCGCCGTCCGCCCGGCCTTCCGTGACATCGAGGCTCTGCTTGCTCACATGATGCCGCCGCGCAGCGACGAGATGGGTCCCATGGGTCTCAAGTCGGTAGAGAATCTGATTGACTACGGGCTACCAGGCAGAGTGGAGAATTCGTTCGCCCAGGTGGAGCGTACGGAGAGTCCCTTCGTCAACGTTGAACGGGTTTAATGCAGAGGAGCGTTCGCCCGTCATCAAAACCATCATGAATGCTTTAATACTCGCCGCTGATGATGTGTTACTATTCATGGCGAATTAGTCATCGCAAGGGATTAATTGCATCGACTCGGAAAAATCAGTGATTTAGAAAACGTTTTCGCAACCGGCACACCGCATCGAGTATACTTGCCACTACGGCTGTGTCCAATGGTCGTGGCCGACTCCTGTGGCGCAGAAAACATTCAATTTGGAACCAAGCCTCGTGGAATATAATTGAGTTACTACTGATTAGTCACGAATAGTCTTATTACGCATTTAGAATCACTGATTACTATGCAGTACTCATTATTAATCGACAACAACGTATTACTAATCACTCAATAATAATTATAATTATTACTAATCAGGTATATTATATTGCATTACTAATTTAATAATAATCATACTTAGAATGTACAACCTTTGTCAGTCTACTGTTGAACGAAACTTCCCTATGCAGTTTCAGTAATGGGGGGGTGGTTTAACCATACTTCACCGCACTGGTCAGTGTGGGTTGGTGAAGAGAGCACCCAGGACGGGTTCAGATGTCGCTCACCACTGTCAGTCGTGATTGGGAAGCTAACTGAGGCACAGGGTCCGCAGTGCGGTGCACGAACTGCGAGACCACCACCCCACTCCATGACACCTTCACCGAAGTTACAAAGGTGGCCACCGCATCGCGCGCTTTCAGATGTTCTTTTGCGGCCGTCTGGAACGCTCTCTCTTCTGTTATTCGGAAAGCCACTTGAGCTATGCACTTTTGAATAATCTAGATTGAAAACTCATTTGTTTAAAACAGATGTTTTTTTTATTTAGTTTGTTGTTCATCCCCCACACTTCCGATGAGCATGTTTGGCTAAGTACGGTGCGAAAGAAGTTCAACATACATACACGATTCGCGCAACGAGACAGAAACGATGAGCGGAGTCTGGCAAGAAGATACGCTCCCGCCAAGGGGACACTTGCAGACATCTGCTGAAAATTTTATGGCAGATTTAAAGGCATAAACGTAACTGTACAACGCATTAACCATCTCGGATTTGTTGATGACATAGTCATCATGACAAATAATTACCCATAACTACAGCAAATCAATGTAGACTTTAAGGAAGAAGAAAATAAAGACGCAAACAGGAGGAGCCTGGCGTGCTTTTGGAGAAGCGCATTTGATGATGAGAAGCAGCAGCGCAACGCACCCGAGGCAGGAGGTTTTCAATCATCGCAAACAGCCCGCTATGAGGTGCGTGCGAAAAAACATAGACCCCAGCAAAGAAAATAGAACGAAGAGCCGAAAAGTGTGCCGAGAGACACGGAGAGACGCATGCCTCGAATTACACAGAGAGACGGGAGGAGGAGGAGGACATGGATGAGGGAACGACCACGAAATCGACTGTTTGGGAAAATGAGATTGTGGTCAGTCCACATCCCTAGAAGAGATGATGGCTGATGGATGAGAACGGTGACGTAACACGGTAGCCATCGGAGGGCATGCGTCAGAGAGTTTTCCCATTATGGAGATGGAGCGGTGAGATCCGCATGTGTGCAGGACTGGGGTGGAGTGTGGCATAGCAGGGCCGTGTGGGATGGAGACGGCATAAGGAGGCCTATGGCTGCTGCAGATTGATGAATCATTACGAAGCATGCCCATGATCGTAACGAGCTCGTTACTCGCTCTGTTTGAGTGGGGCCTGCAGTCCGCCTTGGCGTCTTCATGTTCGTGACAGTCTCCTGCAGAGACGCGAGTCGGGATGATCCTTAGTTGGACTTTCTGTCTCTCGTTCATTTCCTTCAACCGAGGGCAGCCGTGTCTTGTTCACGGTAGACTTGGGCACACAAGAAACAAAGTGACACTTCACACACACACTCGGCAACGCAAAACTTAATTCGGGAAAACGCGGGTTCTAGGGGCATACATTGAATATTGGAGTTGATTAAACTCGAGCAAACATAATAATTGGAAAACAAATGGCAGCGAGAACTAAGCCTTGAGGAATGCCCTCGGTCGATCGGAGACAAGTCCCAAGAATTGTTTCGCCAGATCCTGTAAATCGGGCTCTGCCCTCTCCACCAAACGATCGGCGCTCCAGAAGACCGCGGCGAGTCGCCCGTGGAACTGTTGACGATGCCACGACTTAGATGATGTGTGATATTGGGGGTTGCCTGCGGGTCCTGAAAGCCAGATCACCAGCACTCGCCGCTGATGCGACGTGCCGATGATGAGCGCAAGGCGTGGGCATGGTGCAGTGTCAGCAGTGCAGCTGCCAATACAGAACTCATACTCACCATTGGAACCTCATTTGCCAGTAAAAAATATGATAATTGTTTTTTTTACCCTTCTATCTGGCAACAAAACTGACACCTTTTTTACAAGGAGTCATGTTTGCATAGACCACAATACCTGCAGCCATAATGCAAAAAAAACATAACTGATAATATATGCACTGTCCTTGAAGTTGATTGGTCCACACCCGAGACAGCTTTCCTTAGAGCCTAGTCTCACATGGGTTGGACCAGATGACGCCAAAAGACTAGGCTCTAAGGAAAGCTGTCTCGGGTGTGGACCAATCAACTTCAAGGACAGTGCATATATTATCAGAGTTATGTTTTTTTTTGCATTATAGCTGCAGGTATTGTGGTCTATGCAAACATGACTCCTTGTAAAAAAAGGTTTCAGTTTTGTTGCCAGATAAAAGGGTAAAAAAAAATTATCAGAACTCATACTCTTTGGTTATTTCGGTAAAGTCACGTAGGTAAACAATAAAATGTAATATTTTATACCCACGTGACTTTACCGAAACAACCAAAGAGTATGGATTCCTGCAGTCACGAAAGCTTCAAATCAATACAGTACTTACAGAGCCCGCATGTTCATCGTTGCGTCGTATGCTTTTAAATGTAACAATAATCGCTTTAAGATTTGATAATCGATCTATGAAGCAATTCTAATCACAATCGTGTTTTAAGCTGCTAAGTTGAATCGTAGGCTTTATATATATAACCAGACTGATATGTGTCCCTACGTAATAATAATCACAAGTGTTAATCCGTCAGCCTCCTGGATTTCCAGACCAAACCGATACAGGATCGTTTGATTGAAAAAGCTCTCGACTGGTTTCAACCTTTTGAGCCTCATCAGTCATTCTTGTTATGAAAATTCTTCTAGATTGCCAGATGTTCTTGGCAAAAAGCACTCCATCTAAACGACGGTGGCTTGCTGAAAGAAAACAAGCGATATTCATACGAACCCGTTACGCATTCTTGTGGAAAAATATAGTATACTGTACCTGTCAAACCCTTATCAGTGCCGACCTAATTACAGACAATTCAGATCGTATTGCCCTTATACATCTCAACGTTCATCCTACAAAGTCCCATCACAAGGGAGAAACGCAGTCAAATAGACAAAAAAATGTTTTTTGCCCGCATTGAAACGGCTGTACTCCGTATGGACCCTGAAAACTCAATTTCCCTGTGCAAGAAATACGGGTAAACCACTTGGGGTTGACAGGTTCGATATAGGTGAATAGGAGGCAGACGATGCCCATATCTAGGCCGCTTCTTCATCCATCCATCCTGCCTGCAGGAGTAAGCCGATGAACAAACTCGTTAATAATTTTAGCTTCACATTTTTTTTACGATTATGATTTGTCTACGTGTTATGTACAGCTTCGTGAGGTGCGGTCGCATATACTGTATACGCCAAATAAAGCCGCTTTGCTTTACTGAGTTAACAAGTGTTATAGCTAACGCGCGTTATCTTTGACGAGTGTTATAGTTGACGAGTGTAATACTGGTAGGAACCTCCTGGTTACACCAGCCCACAGGGGATTATTATGTCCGTCCGTCCGTCGTGCAGGGAGGGGCTGGGTGGGGAGGGAGGGGCTGGGTAGGGAGGGCTGGGTGGGGAGGGGAGGGTGGGGAGGGGCTGGGTGGGGAGGGGCTGGGTGGGGAGGGTGGGGAGGGGCTGGGTGGGGAGGGGCTGGTCACCCCGTGGTGCCCTTATAAAACTCAACGTTTAACCTACTCACGCCGCCGTTGACCCTGGCCATTGACCGAGCAACCCAACGTTCCTACCAGCTCCCTCCGCATGAATGTGTTAGTTAACGAGTCTCTATCCGAGCCCGTGTCTGCAACGCTACTCTCAGCCACGTGGTGGCGCTATTTATAGCTCAGTGGGCCTTACCTGCTAAAACGAAGGGAAATTTTTATTTTATATTTTTGTCATCGACTGTACGCGCCTCGTTGTAGCGGAATTAAAGAGTCGGGAGACTCACACAGAGGAGACTTTCACGTGGACCCACACACTCACAGTGAGGACCACAACACCCCCCGGAATCTGACCGTACAATGAACGCGAGTTGAGATGAAATCCACTTGATTGAAGATAATATTTGTCTCGTGAAAGGTCACATTTAACTCACTGAAGGTAAGGTTCACCTGGGCGAAGGTAAAATTCACCGACGACTTCGCGATTTGGCACTGGATGCCCCGTAGCCTCTACAGATCCAAACAGGTCAAGTGTGAGGGTGTGAGGATGTCAGGTGGTGAGGTCAAGAGAATGATGGTTTCGATTTAAAGCTTTCGTGACTGCAGGGATTCATCTTCTTGGTTCTTTCGGTAAAGTCACGTAGAAGGGAAATAATAAAATAATAAAAATAAAACATTATAAACTAATTCTCACTGACAATTATTTTATTATGTTTTATTCGTATTATTTGATTACTTCCCTTCTACGTGACTTTACCGAAAGAACCAAGAAGAGAATGATGGTTGTGGGGGGCCCCCTTCATCATTACCTCCATACCCCCCACCCCCGTATCGGTGTGCATGCGGCACGCGGCGTGGTAATGAAAGCGATTAGGTTGGAGTGAGTAGGGGGGGGGGGGTGAGAGTTAAACAGAGAAGCATTCTTGAGCTGCGGGGGGATTAGTGGCTCACGGGGTCCCGATGGCCACAGGATTAGCGGGGACCCCAGCCCCCATGGCCCTATCCACCTCTCGTGAAAACCCGGGCGGCCTTCCGTGTGACAGGCTAGGTGCGCTCTGAAGCGGTCACGTCAAGTGCCAGAGGTTCGCTGCTGGCAGGAGGCCACGGGATAGACCCAGACACAAAGTCGCCTCCATCCCCGTTAACGCTACGCAGGCGTTTTGGGGCAGGTGCCGTTAGGGGCCGTCCATAAATGACGTCACGCACCTGGGGTGGAGGTGGTCAGATATTTGTGACGATGTATGACGAGGGCAGGGGGGGTTTGAGAAATGTGATGTCACATCAAAATGCACAATTTTAAATAAATATAAACAACACGTTCTACTTAATTAAATAGACGTTTTAATACATGTTTTCTCCTACAACATCAGAGTGCAGCGCCACATTAATTACGCACTACAATGACAATAGTTTAAAGCGATTTGAAGCATGTTTTATATTTTTTTGAGGGGGGGTCTGACTTTTTGAGACGAGGGAGGGGGGGTCAAAAGTCGTGAAAAATCGAGTGACGTCATTTATGGACGGCCCCTTAGTGCACCATTGGAACCTCATTTGCCAGTATAAAATATGATAATTGGTTTTTTACCCTTCTATCTGGCAACAAAACTGACGCCCCTTAGTGATCACACGTTAGTCAACACGGTCGTTTATCACTCTCGCCACTGATGTCAGCCGTGGCCGGGAATCGAACTCAGCTGAGCCACACGCGGAGATCCCTCGGTTCCTCACCTGCGTGAAAAGGGAGCTCCTCCTCCGAGCTCCCTTCTCACCTGTGCGCTCCTCCGCTGCCGTGGCAACGGCGTCGCCCAGGTGAATGAGTGCGGGGGGTGGTGGTGGGGGTGGTGGTGCTAGGATAGGGCCAGGTGAATGAGTGGTGGGGTGGTGGTGGGGGTGGTGGGGCTAGGATAGGGCCAGGTGAATGAGTGGTGGGGGTGGTGGTGGGGGTGGGATATGGCCAGGTGAATGAGTGGTGGGGGTGGTGGTGGGGGTGGTGGGGCTAGGATAGGGCCAGGTGAATGAGTGCGGGGGGTGGTGGTGGTGGGGGTGGGGCTAGGATAGGGCCAGGTGAATGAGTGGTGGGGGTGGTGGTGGGGGTGGTGGGGCTAGGATAGGGCCAGGTGAATGAGTGGTGGGGGTGGTGGTGGGGGGTGGTGGGGCTAGGATAGGGCCAGGTGAATGAGTGGTGGGGGTGGTGGTGGGGGTGGTGGGGCTAGGATAGGGCCAGGTGAATGAGTGGTGGGGGTGGTGGTGGGGGTGGTGGGGCTAGGATAGGGCCAGGTGAATGAGTGGTGGGGGGGGGGGTGGTGGGGCTAGGATAGGGCCAGGTGAATGAGTGGTGGGGGTGGTGGTGGGGGTGGTGGGGCTAGGATAGGGCCAGGTGAATGAGTGGTGGGGGGGGGGTGGTGGGGCTAGGATAGGGCCAGGTGGAATGAGTGGTGGGGGTGGTGGTGGGGGTGGTGGGGCTAGGATAGGGCCAGGTGAATGAGTGGTGGGGGTGGTGGTGGGGGTGGTGGGGCTAGGATAGGGCCAGGTGAATGAGTGGTGGGGGTGGTGGTGGTGGGGGTGGTGGGGCTAGGATAGGGCCAGGTGAATGAGTGGTGGGGGTGGTGGTGGGGGGTGGTGGGGATAGGATAGGGCCAGGTGAATGAGTGGTGGGGGTGGTGGTGGGGGGGGTGGTGGGGCTAGGATAGGGCCAGGTGAATGAGTGGTGGGGGTGGTGGTGGGGGTGGTGGGGCTAGGATAGGGCCAGGTGAATGAGTGGTGGGGGTGGTGGGTGGGGGTGGTGGGGCTAGGATAGGGCCAGGTGAATGAGTGGTGGGGGTGGTGGTGGTGGGGGTGGTGGGGCTAGGATAGGGCCAGGTGAATGAATGGTGGGGGTGGTGGTGGGGGTGGTGGGGATAGGATAGGGCCAGGTGAATGAGTGGTGGGGGTGGTGGTGGGGGGGGTGGTGGGGCTAGGATAGGGCCAGGTGAATGAGTGGTGGGGGTGGTGGTGGGGGTGGTGGGGCTAGGATAGGGCCAGGTGAATGAGTGGTGGGGGTGGTGGTGGTGGGGGTGGTTGGGCTAGGATAGGGCCAGGTGAATGAGTGGTGGGGGTGGTGGTGGGGGTGGTGGGGATAGGATAGGGCCAGGTGAATGAGTGGTGGGGGTGGTGGTGGGGGGGGTGGTGGGGCTAGGATAGGGCCAGGTGAATGAGTGGTGGGGGTGGTGGTGGTGGGGGTGGTGGGGCTAGGATAGGGCCAGGTGAATGAGTGGTGGGGGTGGTGGTGGGGGTGGTGGGGCTAGGATAGGGCCAGGTGAATGAGTGGTGGGGGTGGTGGTGGGGGTGGTGGGGCTAGGATAGGGCCAGGTGAATGAGTGGGTGGGGGTGGTGGTGGGGGTGGTGGGGCTAGGATAGGGCCAGGTGAAT